GGGGGTGGGCGGCGCCGCTCCCCCTCCCCCCCCCCGCGCCCCGCCCGCCCCGCCCGCCGCGCCCGGGCCGAGCCGGGCCGATGGTGCGCGGCGGCCCCGCCCCGCCCGGCGCGCCGCCCAATCAGCGCGCGGCCTGGGGCGCCGCGCGGCTCAAATCCGCCCGCCACCACAGCGCGGGCGCCTGTGATTGGCCGCGCGGGCTGCCCGTCACATCCCCCTCCCACGGCCGCGGCGCAGCGGCGACCAGCGGCCCCCGGGAGCGGCCCCGCCGCGCCGCCAGCCCGCCAGGCGGGGAGGCGAGCGGCCTTAAAGGGCCCGCGCCGCGGGCAGCCTGAGCGCGGCGGCGGGGGCGGCGCGGCTTGGCGGCGACGGAGCGCCGCGTACTGACCTGGGCTGCGGGCGAGGCGGGGACGCTGCGCGGCGATGGCCCCCCCGGCGCGGAGCGCGCCACCGACGGACTCAGCCCGTGACGGGTTCCGCCATCTTGGAAATTTTTTTAGATGGGGAGTCACGTGGTGCAACCATTTTTTCCCCCCAGCCAATCAGCGGGCGCGAGTTATTTATAGCCGCGCGGGGGAAGGGGGTCCAATCGGGCCCCGCCTCGCGCGCCCCCGGCCACGCCCCGTGGCGCGCGGCCCGTCGCCATGGCGACCGGGGGGCGGGACGGGGGCCGCCATGTTGGCCCCGAGCCCCGCCGGGAGCGGGGATTGGGATCGCGGGAGCGGGTTCCTGCCTCCCCACCCCCAGAGGCCGCAGCAGCTGCGATCCATGCCGTATAGACGGTATTGCGATAAATCCCTGGAACTTCGGGGCTTTTTTGCACCCCGGTTTTCCGCAGCCGCGGTCCTGCTCCCCCATGGGCCGTTCTGTGTTTTCCGCCAGGTATCGCCTGTAACAGCGAACAGCTGAGGCGAGGGGTAAAAGACAGAAAGGGCAGGGCACGGCTCAACATATTTGCCTGAATTACCGGCAGAATGTAGAAAAATAAAAAGGAGTTGCCCGGCAGTGCTTCCCCCCACCCCCGTTTGGCAGCGAGTGACTGGTTTTTGAGCTGTACGTGGAATTGCCCGCTGAGCTGACACGTCTCGTCTCACTCGTGTCTTGTTGATTCACCCAGTGCCCAAAACTCCCCAAGACCTGCTCCCAAACATTCCAGGTGATGGGAGGAAAATATTGCAGTGTTGGGTGCAAGGAGTTCATCCTTGGGACACAATCCGATGGGAACGCCCCACCGGAGATGTATTATCCCATTATTTCTGTTTTCCAGAGCAGCTGTGGCTGCCCCTGGATCCCTGCAAGTGTCCAAGGCCAGGCTGGATGGGGCTTGGAGCACCCTGGGACAGTGGAAAGGAGATTTCCTGCTAAGCTTCCAAGGAGTTTCTTTCCATCCTTGCCTAAGGCAAGCTGAAACATGACATTCCTTATTCGCAGGCAGCCATCCCAGTGCGCTTCTGGTGGGTTTGATTAATTGGCTCTTGCTAAATTGTTTTTAAAACTTCCAGATTTCCCTTATAGAGAGGGAAAAAAAAAAAAAAAAAAAAAAAAAAAAAAAAAAAAAAAAAACTCCTGTCGTTCAGCCATCTGGATTTACATAAATTCTGGGACCTGATGGGAATTGCTAACAACTTTGTCCCTCTCTCTTTTACTTTTTTGGACATATTTACCACCTGTGTTTTCATTTGAAAGGGCCACCCTTACAAAAATCCTTGGCACATCGATCCCATCCTTAAAGTTTTGGGGTTTTTTTTTCCCCACGCGGTCGACAGGCTCCCAGGAAGTGGTGCCATTTCCCTGGAATGCACACCTGAGAGCACCACTGGCATTAAGAGCACCTCTTCTGCCTGGAGCCCAAGCCCTTTTTGGTTCATTTGCCTCCTCTTTGGGCTCGTGGGCTTGTTTGTTGTTCTTTGGCCGCTGAGGTTTCGCAGAGTTGTTCTGCTCTCTTTACTGGGGCCAGCCCTGCGCTGGGATGGATGGGGAATGTGTGTATCAATAACCTCACTTTTTATTTCTGACTGCCAAGAGACCTGTGGGTGGAAGGCCTTCAGGGCAGAGGGTTGCCAAGGCAGGGCAGTATTTGCCAACAGGTCTGCTTGCTGGTGGCTGGAGCAGGGCATGGCTGTGGCAGCCAGTGGGTGTCTGCCCTCCCTTGTGGTCCCCATTTCTTCCCCAGCCAGGGGGGGATTTGGTCCCAAACCCTTTAAACATGGGTGACAACCAGCCCTGCTGCCTTCCCTGGCTGCACTGCTGGAGCAGTTTGGAAACAGGAAACGAGAGGAGAGAGCTGTGCCCTGGAAGTTGCCATGGAGGGTAAGTTCTACCTTCAGGTTTTGATTGATGCTGTACCTGTGGGTGTGAGTACGTGTCTCTATTAATACCCAGTCTAGGCTAACCTGTGCATAATGGCAGAAAATTAAACCTTTGTCGTTGCTCATGGAAGTCAGACCTCAGAGATTCACAAGGGAAAGGCTTCTTGCTATATGTTAAATCCAACATGTTGGCTGTAGCTGTGTATAGTCTGTTTTTACTGTATTTGCAGCTGAAAAACTTACTCAGAAGCCTGTTGAAGCAAAAAATAAAAATCTAAAATAAAAACCAACACCCTGGCAGAGCTAATTCATAAAGATTTAAATAAAAAGCAATTACAGAACTTCCCGCCTACCTCCAGCTCATCTTTAGCTGAACTCCTTGTTTGTCAGGAATGATTCCATTTTTTATGTTCTCAAGCAGGAAACAGCCATCACAACACTCCAACTAATTTCCCTCGCTAGTCACAGTGAGCTGGTGAAAGTAAAAGAGGGTGCTTCAGCTTTCCACTCCAACCCTGCCACTCCACAGGCTAAAAAAAAGGAGGATAGAGTTAGGAAGAGAGCCAGCAGGAACTTCCTCTGGAGCCTAGACACCAAAGATCTACTCCAAGTGCCAGTGCCACTTGGGTCCTTGGAGAAAAGTCAAGCCTAGACACAATTTCCAACCTGGTGATGGCTCCCTCTTCTTCCTCCTGATCATTCAGTCTGACCTCCCTTGGTTTTCCTGTCCCCCCCATCACCCTTTTGTGCTTTGTCTCCCATTCCCTGTTCTCCATCTGTCCCACAGTACACTGGTTTGCTCCTTTTTGCCATCAAAAGGAAAACCCCATCAAACTCACACAGCTTACAGAACAGCTCTGATGGGACAGGGAATGTTAAATTTACGTTGCCCCCTCCTGTGTTTTCCTCCAACATACCTTTTATTGTGGAGTTTTCTTCTGTTGTTACTGGCTTTTTAATCCTGGTGAGTTTTGTTTCAGCAGGAGCTCCTCGTTCTCTCCTGGCCTCACAGCTCGCTCTGAGCCAGAACAAGGTGGTTCTCCTCCACTCCTGAGCCCCCCACGCCTGTGTCTGGCTGCAGGAGCCGCTTCCCAGCTTGTCTGCACACCCAACACTTCATCAAGCCTGCAGCACTCAGGGCCTGGAGAGCTGAAATCCTGAAGCAGTAAGAGCCAGACTCTTAGAAACAAGTTATTGCTGTTGTTTCAGGCAAAATCAAGACCCTGTCCCCTGCCTGGGGGGAAAAACAAGCAAGTGAGGTTCAAAATGGAGGTCACATATGTAAAGTTGGCTTTCTTCTCCATATTTACACTATATTTTTGCTGATGGAGATACATTGGATTGTTATGGCAGTCACTTTAAAATGACTGAGTACAATACACCTTTAAAATAAAACTGCTTGCTGAAGTTTGTTTTCAATATTTTTCTGGATTTCTATAAACTTCCTATTTATTTAGCAGCTATGCTCTCAACTATGTTATGGAATATCCTGACTTCAAAGGGATCCACAAGGATCATCATTCCTACTGCAGAGAGAAAAATTATTCTGTGGCCATTACAAACCGCTGTCCAAAAGTGCTTAGGGTGTCATCATCCCTCCAAATTAAACTGAAGAATTAAGAGTATGAAAGAAATCTCTTTTCCCCCTCAACTGGTTTTTGGGGTTTTTTTGGTTCAGTCAATTTCAGTAACACATTTAGGCTTAAATTGCAATAAAAAGCAGAAATAATTCTAAAGTGAATATGGAATCTTTGTGAAGTCGAGGCTAGAATAACTGTTGGATATGCTTAATTTATCAGCACTCATTTTCCGATTCTTAATATTAAAAAT